TGTAGCTTCCCTGAATTTAAACAAGTATAGAAAAATCAGCAAAATCATTGTCTTTCTCATAACCAAACCTTCGGCAGAGTGCCGGGAACTATATAAAAGAAGGGGAGACATTATGACATGGAGAGGAGAGGAGCTCCACAGGTCCAAATATATCTGTGCACAGGGGTCTTTCATGAGACTGTTTCTCCAACCAAGGACCATGTATGGATATAACCTAGAACTCCTGCTCGGATGTAGCCCTTGGTAGCTCAGTATCCAAGTAGGTACCCTAGTAAGGGGAACAGGGACTATTCCTGACATTATTTCTGACTCAATGGCTGGCTCTTTGACCTCCTCCCACTCCTAAGTGAGGAGCAGCCTTGCTAGGCCACAGAGGAGGACAGTGCAGCCAGCCCTGAAGACACCTGTAGGATCAGATGGAAGGGGAGGTGGTCCTCACCTATCAGTGGACTTGGAAACGGGCTAGGAGGAGATGAAAGAGGGAGGGTGGGATTAGAAGGGAATGAGGGAGTGGGCTACAGCTGCGATACAAAGTTAATAAACTAATATTTTAAAAAATATAAAAAAGAAAATCATTGTTTTTACCCTGTATCTTCTCTTCTCTCCCTCCTCTATTTCAGAGTTTTGAGAATTACAAAGTATTTCTAAAAAGAAAAGTGTGGGTACCAAGTAAGAATGGCAAGAGAGTGGAGAGAATGCATTTTAAATCTGGCTTTTTGACATGAACTGGTTACAGCTGAGTGAATATGTACTGTAGAGGTTGACTGTTTTATGTTTTCTGTTTTTTTAAACTGCGATTTCCCCCCTTTTTTTTCTGCTTTATTTTCCATCTTCACTTTAAACAATCTTACATTTTGACAGTAGAGGCAGGCTGGTCAGATTTTACTGTTTAGATATCAAATATAAGACTTACTACTACCAGCATGAACTGAGACCCCTGTTGGTGTCTTAATCCAAAACCAGCATTTTAAATTCATATAAACCTTGCCTTAAGGGATGGAAAAAAGACAATTTAGAGAACAGCATGAGGTTAAACATATTGATCAACAGTCCAATAGTCCCTTCTAGACTTGGGGTAGAATGCAGACATAGAAAAATAACATTATCCACAACAAGAACAATAACAGCAACAAAGAACACTTCTCCAGAGAGAAACTCTTTCCCTGTTTCTCTCCTTTTTATTGTTGTGATTTAATTATAACATATTTCCCCTCTCCTTCCAAAGCCTTCCATATACTAGTCTCTACTCTCTTTCAAATTCATGGCACCTTTTTACTGACAGACATAAACCTTTTTACTCCATGCACATACTTACATATATGTTACGAAGTATTGTCTGTTAAGTCTGTATTATGTTACTTGCATGTACGTTTTCAGGACTGACCTTTTGGAACTGAACACCACCTCTCATGCCCCAAGCTTTCTTCTGTTGCTTATGGCTGTTTTAATAGGGTTGAGTTCCTGTCAGCTTTTCACTGTCCACTTTGACATGTCCATTAGGTCCATTAGTATTTTTCTCATTTGGCACACATTTGGGTACTCTTGTTGGTGACACTTTACTCTGAAATACTAGAAGTCACAACAGCAGAACAAACTCCCCGATTCCCTTTCAGTCATTTTTTCTCCTCCTCATCTTCTGCAGTGTTCCCTGGACCTTAGCAGTGGGCATGAATTTTATATACATATATCTATCAGTATTTTGCTCCACAATTCTGCGTTTTGATTAGTTGTGATTTTTTTCTTAATAGTGGTTTCCATCTGTGTCCATCTGTTGCAAAGAGACTAATGTTTAAATTGTTGTTAGAGATTAATTTGCTTCAGTAAATTAGTGGTTGTAGATTCCTCCTTTAGTAACTGTTACTTCACTAGCACTGAACAGTTATATAGGTTTCTAGTGCCAGGCATAGTCTCCATGTTGTTGAATGGGTCTTAATTCCAATTAGAGAGCTGTTTGTTTCTGCAAACGTATGCCTACCACTACTGCACCCTTCGAGTTACAGTGCCATTTAGGTCATTCGTGTGGTTCATAGGAATCATAGCGCTGTGGCATTGTTGGTTGCCCCCTCCTTTGGAAGCTTGTATGGCACCCTCTGGTACCATGAAAGCTAGTCCTCAGGGAGCAGGTATTCAGGTTGGTTCCACCCCAATGGTCTCTGTACCTGTTTCTTGAATGTATGGTGTCTTCCTCACTTCTAAGGGATAAAGGGCATCACCTGCATGTTTTCTCTCAACAGCCCTGGATAACTCAAAGGCGGTCTTCTCTTTTCTGCTGTTGTGGTTTTTGGTAGGGATTCTTTGGCTCTTGGGGTGAGCACTGCCAACCTATATAAGAAAAATTTATTAAAACTGTATATGTATGTTTACATATGGAATTAGTACATTAAAGGGTTTTTTTTGTTTGTTTGTTTCTTTATTCTTTTTAATAAATAGTCCAGTAGTTTTTTTTGGATTTGAGGTAGAATGTAGATATAGAAGAATAATAAAACTATCAACAACGAAAGTACATTGCTTCTCTAGGGAGAAACACATTTCCTTTTTGAAATATGGATTTGTGATGATGGAAAGGTATCTTTCATTCACGGATTAAAAAGTCAAGAATTTAAAAGTAGGTGAAAAAATTTGATTATGGTGAGCTATATAATTTACTAATTTATAATTAGTAAATATACAGTAAGTTTGAATTTTTATTGTGTTATAGGAGTGATTGCTTGACAAAGTAAATTCCTGTCTTTACTTAGGCAATGTCCATTACCTATGTAATGTATCACACCTTATATATTTGTTTGTTGTTTGTTTGTTCATTCATTCATTCATTTATTTTATTCACTCATTCCATAGTTTGTCCATTCGTTTGTTTGGTTTTTTTTGAGACAAGGTTTCTCTGTGTGACAGCCCTGGCTGTTCTGGACCAGGCTGACCTGGATCTCACAGAGATATCAATCTCTGCCTCTGCCTCCTGAAAGCTGGTACTAAAGGCATGCACAACCCCACTCAGCTTTATTTTGTTTTGTTTTGTTTTATGTTTTCATAGGAGCCTTATCAGCCATATTTAGGACTTTGTTGAACTTGAAGTCTTTGGAAATTTGAAAAATATATAAAGAACTTAAGAAATTAAACAAGAACAAAACAAACAATCCAATCAAAAAATGGCATTCAGAGCTTAATAGAGAATTCTTTTTTTAATTCTTTATTAATTACACTTTATTCACTTTGAATCCCTTGTGTGGTTCCCTTCCTCCTCCTGTCCCAATCCCTCTCTTCCTCCACCCTCTCCATGGGGAGGGACATGCATGCACAGGGTAGAGAATTCTTAACAGAGGAATATTGAATGGCAAAGAAACACTTAAAGAAATGCTGAACTGAACATCCTTAGTCATCAGGGAAATGCAAATCAAAATGACTGTGAGATTCCATCTTATACCCATCAGAATGGCTAAGATAAAAAACTTAAGTTATAGCATATGGTGGAGTGCATATGGAGTAAGGGGAACACTTCTCCATTGCTGGTGGGAGTGCAAACTTGTACAGCCATTTTGGAAATCAATCTGGTGCTTTCTGAGAAAAGTGGGAACAGTGCTACCTCAAGATCTAGCTATACCACTCATGTGTATATACCAAAAGATGCTCTACCATGCAGCAAGGACATTTGCTCAACTATGTTCATTGCAGCTTTATTCTTAAAAGCCAGAATCTGGATACAACCTAGATGTCCCTCAATTGAAGAATGGTTACAGAAATTGTGGCACATTTACACAATGGAAAAATACTCAGCAGTTATAAACAAGGAAATCATGAAATTTGCAGGCAAATGGTGGGAAGTAGAAGAGATCATCCTGAGTGAGGTAACCTAGAAGCAGAAAGACACTCATGATATATACTCACTTATAAGATGATATTAGCCATAAATATATAGGATAACCACCCTAAAATTTACAGACCTAAAGAAGCTAAATAACAAGGAGGATCCTAGGGAGGATGCTTAAATCTCATTCAAAATGGCAAACACCATAGACACCAGAAGCTGTGGAAGAGAGGGAACAGGATGGGAGCCTACCACAGCTGTCCTCTAAAAGGCTCCACCCAATAAGGGATTGAAGCAGATGCAGAGACTCATAGGAAACTTTGGGCAGAATGCAGTAAGTCTTATGGAAGAAAGTGGGAATAGAAGGACCTGGAGGGCACAGGAGCTTCACAAAAAGACAAACAAGTCAAAGCCCCCAATGAGCCCTGCAGAGACTGATGCACCAGCCAAGGACCATGCATAGAGAGGACCTAGACCTGCATAGATGTAGCCTATAGGCAGCTCAGTCTCAGTTTGTGTGCCTGAGTAAGGGGAACAAGGGCTGTCTCTGAGGTTGACTCATTTGCCTGCTCTTTGATCACTTCCCCCTTGTTGTGAGGCCTTGCCAGGCCACAGAGAAAGAGGATCCAGGCAGTCCTGATGAGACTTGATAAGCTAGGGTCAGATGCCAGGGAAGGAGGGCTCCCCATTTAAGTAGACTAGGGGCAGAGGGAGAGAGGGCAGGATCAGGAGGAGATAATGGTGGGGCTACAATCGGGCTTTACAATGAACAAATTGTAAAAAATAAAAATAAAAAAAATAGAAAAATATTGTACTATTCTATTTTGCCATTATTTACATAGTAATAGATTTTTATAGTTTTCATCTACAGTATTTTCTGTTTGTATTGTATGTGTGTACTATGCTATTGAGCAAGACCTTAAGCCATACATGAAGCTTTTATAAAAAGAGAATTTGTTTTCTTTACATCATCCTTCAAATAAGTGAAAGAATTTAATTGAAGCTATATATTTTTGTGTTTAGATATATATGTATATATATATCTATATAAATATATAAATATTTTACTTTTTTATCTTATTAAGCCTTTCAGAAATATTTGATAATTTTTGAAGTAAAACTTCTTTCTCTCCCTTTGGTTCTTTTTGTTTTAAATGCTGTAAACCGTGTCTAAGTCTCTCTGCGTATTCTGTTGTAGGTAGCTTGTATGCAGCTCATAAATGCCCTTGTTACATCTCCCGATGATTTGGACTTCAGGCTTCACATCAGAAATGAATTTATGCGTTGTGGATTGAAAGAGATATTGCCAGTAAGTGCCCTGCAGTCTCCTCATTAATATTTAAATTAGAAGTGTACTTGAGTGGGGGAAATTTAGATAAATTACTCTCAAGAATAATTTATCTGCGGGAAAAGACTTGAGTACAAAAATCTAGTTTTGAAATATAGATGATAAGATTTGAGTATTAGTTAACAGTTTTAAGTGTTTGAATTCTGCAAGGCAGGTTTGAATGATTGACTTATTGTTTATTTATTGATAATTTTCCCATACTGAAAACATAATCCATCATAACTTTTTGTCCAATATCTACAGAACTTAAAGTGTATTAAGAATGATGGCTTGGATATACAACTTAAAGTCTTTGATGAGCATAAAGAGGAAGATTATATTGAGTTCTCCCATCGCCTTGAAGATATTAGAGCAGAATTTGAATATCCTTTTGCTCTGAGTCCTAGTCAAAAGATGTGTAAAATTACTGTTACATCTAAAACAATGAACTGTACCCCATAAATCATTTAAGTCACTCTATATAAACTATATGATATCAAACCTTTATGTATTAAAAAAAAATCACTATTTTAGTAGCTTATATTGCTTTTTTTCTGTACATTTGTGAAAAGGGTTGCTACAATTAATTAAATAATTCTCTTGCAGCAGATTGTTACATGTATTTACAGTCTGTTCTTTTTGTGGCTGTTTTCTTTTTTTGTGGCATTGGATTTGAGATAACCTCAACATATTTAATTTTCTTTTCTCTACTATGGTTTCAACTTGGAGGCCTCCTGTAAACTGATGGATCCACAGGTGTTTGGATTGTTTCTCTGACATTAGAATCTGCTTCTCCACTCTGATTTCTCACCGTAGCGCTTGCTCTGCTGTTCAGGGCGACCTTAGAACTTTGTGTTCGTAGGGCCTACCACCTGTACTCCCACTATATTTTCTAGTGAAGTTGATCACAAAGGGTGACAAAGCGTCATGGCAAACTGTCATCCATGGTATTCTCTATACTCAATTCCTAGATAGCTCTAAAAAGAACTATTTCTAAACAGTTATTTGCATACAAGTCTTCCAACCTTTCATACAGCAGATCCTGTGTTGTTGTAGCTGTTTGGTGTACGATTTGAATAAATTCATATGGTCCTTAATCAGCTCACTGAAGCATCTGATGTTTACAACATGGTGTGGGACACAGTTAAAGAAACTAGAGCAGAGGGATATTTTATTTCTATTCTTCAGCATCTCCTGCTTGTTCGAAATGATTGTTTTATAAGGTAAGAGGAAGCTCTATTCTGATGTTTAAGAGATAAAACTATTATTTGGGAAATTCACCTGATAATTGAGATAGGCATGTCATTTTTATTTCTTTCATGATAATGATCTACAAACTATGTTATTTTCTTTAGGCATTCTCTCTCTCAGCTGTAAATACAATGCCATTACTGTTCCTGTTTAAACTCCAGAAATTTCTTGGTTGTATCCTCTCCTTTGAATGAAAGTTGACTCTATGTCTATTATTCCTGTCAGCAAATTTAGGCTGTCATGTTGGTGAGACTTCATTGGTTATAAATTCTGATGTTACTAGAGATACAGTCTCACAGCAAACTCCCTATGAGCTTGCTCTGGCACTTAACAATCTTTCCACTCCCTCTTCCACAATGATCTTTGAACCTTAGGTAGAGGAGTGTCTTATAAATCCACTGGGATGCATATGGCTAACATGTATACTGATCGAAGTATATTAAGATTATGTATGTGTGTCTGTATACATGTGTATATATGTTTATATATATTCATGTAAAAATAATGTAAAAAAAGTGACCATGTATTTGAAAGTGAGCAAAGAGGGGCTATATTGCAGGTTTTGGACAGAGGAAAGGGTGTAAATATAATCTCAAAAATAGTAGAGGAGTAAAGATAAGAGAGAGGGAGGGTGGGAACAGGAGAGGAGAAATGCCTCTAATTGGGATATATATGGAATAAAAAAAAAGTGTGATTACCATTTAAAAAGTTGAATCCATTTTCAGCTTATCAACTTATATAAATTATAATATTTTGTGGTGGTTTCTTAGTCACCAGGAATGCTACTGATGTGTTGCTTTTTATAAATTGTAGGCAGAGTGTTTACAATTGCTTTTACTAGTGTTTAAATAGTCAGAATATACCTCAATAATATTTTTGTGTTTAATGTTTTTAATGTATCGGAAAACCGATACAAATGTCTTTTCAAACTTGATTATGTCTTGGCTGCCTGATCTTGACAAATTGTTCTTTGTTTACCTTATATAAAACACAATGTGGTTCTAGGTTAATGTGATTACCCAAGTGACTATAATGTAAAGATTAAACGTGGTTATGTGAGGAAATGTTTGAGCTAAGTTCTTAACACACTGTGTATATCCAGTAAATGGTCTTGATATTGCTTTCTACTTTTATTAGTTGTTTGTGAGGTCTTCAAATATAAAATTATTTATGTTACCAATTTAGCTTTGCAGAAATTTCTTTCTAAGGTGATAGGGGTTAGTTGGTGTTCCCATAGGTAATTAATAAAGGATTTATAGGAAAGCCTCCCCCTTGGGTGATATCAGTGTTATTTGCTACCCTGCACAACACAGAAGAAAAAAAAACAATGAAACTTATTCCGTAGTGGGCATACGTTGTAATTGTAATTTCTGCAAATATTCTCATCTTGACCAGCAACTGTTTTGTTGTTTAATGTGCCATTTTCTGATACTTTCTTTAATATAGGAGACTGAATATTTAAGCACTGATAAGTGCTATATAAACCGACTAGTTGATTGCATTAAAAATAAGAGTGGATCCTTTTAATTACAGTGTTCTGTTTAGACTCTAAATTTATGTAACAATGAAATAAAACTTCTGTTTGAAGAATCTTCACCAGGCCAGGAATGGTGACAAATGCCTTTAATCTGAGCTTTTGGGAGACAGAGGCAGGGGTATCTTTGAGTTTGAGGCCAGCCTGGGCTCTGTTAAACAGAGAAATTATGTCTTCAGAAACAAAAAGAAAACAAAAATAAAAATCCTCATCTATTCCTTGGTTATCACATGGGTGGGTCTATCTACCTCTGGCTGGTAAATGGTGCTTGAGCCCCAATGAATTCAGGGCCATTTATAGCACGTTCAGCTGAATCAGTTTTTTTTTTTTTTTTTTCAGCTTTATGAATGGTCCATTAGTTGTAAGTTAACTAGTACAAAGGTAGTACTCATATATGGTTCATTGGGAAGAAAGCTGAACTGGCCAGAAGGGCCATCAGATTTGAAGAATGTGGTTTAGAGAAGAAATAAAGAGCTGTATATAAATCACTGAGAAAGGAAATCAATTCACAAGTGATGAGGGATGTAAGGTTCCTCATTATAAACCACCCCACTGCTTGAATCGCCTTTGTACACAAAAGTTATTTATTTATTTTGTATTTTCTTACTGTCTTAAGGAGGTATTCCTAAGTTGTTAGGAATGCAGATGAATTACATTGACAACATATCCTGTTTTGAAGGTTTTAGTTAATCTTTGGTTTTTGCACATTGATATCATATTAACATTTGTAGTCTTCTCTTGAATAAGATATATTCACTTCATTTCATGTCATTTAGAGTATCATGTCATTTTGAATTTCTTTCCACAACATGATTTTAAGAAGTTCCAATAGAAATTCTTAGAAAAGATTTTTGATGTTTTGGTTTGCTTTAATATAATAAATTCCTGGTAGCAACTTTTATATCTGTACTCAGAGGAAGGCTTTAAGCACCTCTCATTAATTCATATCTTTTGTTAATGAAAATGAATGAACTAAATGTCTGACTTTTATAAGGAATGTGTAGTACATTTCCTGACACGTCACTAAAAACATGTCATGATATCATTAGAAAGATGAATTTCCCATGCTATGTTATGCCATCTGTTGAAATCATGCTAAGATAAAATTTTAAACTTGAAGTCATACTTACGTCAAATATATTGTTTTGATGATCACTAATTGAGCGTATATTTATTACGTAATGTGTTTGCTTGTAATATTTATTATGTAATATATTTTTGGTTTTAGACAACAGTACTTCAAACTAATTGATGAGTGTGTGTCACAGATTGTGTTGCATAGAGATGGAATAGACCCAGACTTCACATACAGAAAAAGACTAGATTTGGACCTAAGTCAGTTTGTAGGTGAGTATTTCTCTGTAGTTTAAGTAGAACTCTCTTGAGTTTCGTCCAATGGGTTATTTCTAAGGTACTGGTTTTCTTCATTTGCCTGGAGAGCTCTTGAAGACTCTTACTCTCTTATCATGAAGTCTTAAATGTCAAAGCATAACATTAGAAACAACTTTATAACAACTTCATACAAACCTCTTCTTGACTTTTGTGTGTAGTAACTGATGATTTCAAATGGTTTTAAAACTTGTGACCCCTTTACCACAATGTTGCCACAATACTGTTGTGATTGTCATGGCGTACTTTTCTTTCAGTACACTGGAACAAGGAATTTGAGAAATTTTGAAATTGTAATATTAATTTATTAAATATTCCTATGTATGTCCTTTTAAAGTTCTGTGGGATGGGATATGTGCACTTCAGAGTAAATTGAAAAAACATCATTATTTGAATTATAAGCAGAACTCGCTTTTCTACTCCTTTTTTTTTTTGGCATTTTCTGTGTATATACTATGTACGTTTTTTAGTAAGTGTGCTGTTTCTGCACTGATATGTATATGAATGAATGCACCGAGGTTTTTGCTTAAGTTGCAACGTGCATTTTATGGCTAGGTGGTAGTCAGGAAGCCCAGATTAGCCTCTTGGTTTCTATTCTTCTTCATGTTGGGGTTGCAGACATGGATGGGCTGCTTTTATGTGGGTCTGGGACCCAAACTTATTTCTTGCTTGCACAGCAAATACTCCTAGACACTTAGCATCCCTCCAGCTCTTTTTCTATCATATAAGCTAAACAAGATTGTAAATTGTATTTAGGAAATATAATTGACAATTTGTTTTTCTGCTTGTCTTATTATATGGTTGTTTCTCCACATACATTTGCATATTAGTTTTATTAGAAAGACACACATAAACTACATTATGGCAAGTAAATTTCAATAATTTGTCATAATTAACATTCCACAATAGATGTATGTAATAATTTAGTCCATTATGGTTGGGCTGTGATATTATTTCTAGTGCCTAAAAACATAGTGCCATTTAAACAAGCAGTCTTGTCTAAATTCAAAATCCTAGAAAATAGAATTGTTAGATGCAGGGAATCAGAAAGTTAAAATGTAAGTGTGCATTACCTAGTTTTTCATCAGGAAAGCTATCTGCATATATGTGAGCTATTCTATATTGTTCTAATGGATTACATAACCTTTACTATGACTTCTCATTTAATTTGTTTATGATCACAGTAGCAAGGGAAAGAAAAATATGCTAGCTTATTTTCCTGGTTGATGTTGGGTGTTTCCCTTTCTTCTTTTAAAATCCAGATTGATAATGGAAATTTTTCTATGTTGCATGTTATCAGTGAACTATCTCCTGTTCCATGGTGGAAGGTTAAAATTCAATAGGTATTATTCTGCTGCACTATTTTTGGTGTCACACTTTCAAGAGCCTTTTTGGAACATTGTACTGTTTTTCTCCATTTCACTTATCTTATAATTGATTAAATTTGTTATGATTTTTTTCATTATAACGTCAAGAATTTGCATAAAACTTCAATTTAAGTCTCAGCATCTGCTTTGATACCCTGCAGGGTAGAGTGTTTCAGAGGCCCTCTGTGGCAGGCTCTTGTCCTGTTCCCTGTTTCTACTTCTTCTGATGTCCATCCTCTTTGCCTTTCTGAAATGGGGCTTGAACATTTTAGCCAGAGTCCTCCTTCTTGATTAGTTTCTTTAGGTGTACAGATTTTAGTAGGTTATCCTATATCCACTTATGAGTGAGTATATGCCTTCAAAGCAGATGCTGAGATTTATGGCCAACCTTTGGGCAGAGTGCAGGGATTCTTATGAAAGAAGTGGGAAATAGTAAGACCTGGAGAGGACAGGAGCTCTAAAAGGAGAGCAACAGAACCAGAAAATCTGGGCACAGGGGTCTTTTCTGAGACTGATACTCCAACCAAGGACCATTGATGGAGATGACCTAGAACCCCTGCACAGATAGTAGCCCATGGCAGTTCAGTGTCTAAGTGGGTTCCATAGTAATAGGAACAGGGACTGTCTCTGACATGAACTGATTGGCCTGCTCTTTGATCACCTCCCCCTGAGGGAGGAGCAGCCTTACCAGTCCACAGAGGAAGACAGTGCAGCTACTGCTGATGAGACCTGATACAATAGGATCATAGGGAAAAGGAGGAGGACCTCCCTTATCAGTGGAAGTGGGGAGGGGAATGCATGGAGAAGGGGGAGGGAGGGTATCATTGGAAGGGGAGGGGTAGGGGTTTATGGGTGGCATACAAAGTGAATAAAGTGTAATTAATAAAATTTAAAATAAAAAAACTTCAAGTCAATTTTTGTGTCTCTAATTTTAGATGTTTGCATAGATCAGGCAAAACTACAAGAGTGGGAAGAGAAAGCGTCAGAACATGGCAAGAAAGTAAGTAATTTATTCTGCAGGGCTGTGTGGAGCTGCTGCAGGTGGCATCTCTTCAGAGGGCTTGCTACTCCCTCTGTGCTCATCTTCTTCAGGCTGTTTGACAAGCTCTTCGCTCATGGAGTACTAGCTACACCATTTTGCTATTGCAAATACTCTCCAGTCTCTTTTTTTCCTATATATTTTAATTTTTTGACACTACCATGTCATTATGTGTTTATATATGGATGTATGATGCATTAGCTATTTTTCTCTTAGAGTTAACCTGGGACTTCTATTTCCTTTATTTACTCGCTACGTGATGAACAATTTCTTTTAATGATTGGAGAGAGGAAAGTGAGGGGAGAAATAACATAATTATATTAATCTTAAAAAAATTAAAAATACCTTAAGTGGCTATGTATGATACTAGAGGCAGGCAGATCTTTTGTTGGTGGACAGCCTGATGAATGTAGTGAGTTCCAGGACAGCCAGGGCTGCACAGAGAGAACCTGTCTCCTCCTCCTCCTCCTCCTCATTATTATTATTATTATTATTATTATTATTATTATTATTATTATTATTATTATT